CCCCCCCCCCAGCCACGCCCCTGCTGCAGCCAGCACCCCGTGCCTCAGCCCGGGCCACCCTCACCTCTGTTGTCCCATCCGTTGCTCCTATCGCTCTCCACTGCCTTCCCCATAGCACGTGGGCTCCTTGGGACACAGGCTGTCCCTTTGTCACCAGCTTTGTGCTGGCTGTACAAAGAGCCCAATATCCAGCAGCCGACAGCTTTCTGCCACCAAAAAGAGATGAATGGACTGGAGTGAATCAGGAATACAAAGAGCTGCAGTTCAGGGTAGCAGAAACCTACTGAGGCAGAAGGAGTAACATTATTAAAAACATGACCATGTGGAGCAGGGAAAAATATGGAAGAGCTATCAATTAGTTTGGAAATACTAAAGGCAAGGATGGATCCTTGTGCTGTTTGAGCTGGGTGGCTGGGACATGCTGCTGATGGGAAGATGAAAGCAGCAGCAAGAGGCACAGCAGCAGCAGCCCCATGCAGGAACCTGGGTCTGCCCTCTGCCCTGCAAACAGGCTGTTGACTGAACTCAGGTTTCTAGGAATCCTTGCTCTACTCTGAATATTCAAACTTCATAGCAGCACTGCACAAAGAGGGGAAAAAGTATTGCAGGCATAATTGCTGCCTCGGGGTAGTTTCTCCAAGAGCACATGATGGTGCAGTAAGATTTCTTGCATTTCTTCTGTCAAAGGTGTAAAGTAAGAATAGGCTGAGGTATTCAAGGATTACAGCATGTATGCTGTAGACCCAAACTCTGGCTTTGCTGCAGTCGCTGAGGCTGAGGATACAGCCCTCCCACTGATCCTGCCCGTGAGAACAGGAGTGTCACTTCTTTAAGAGCCTGCAGCTCTGGAGACTCATCATTAAAATGTGCAATTTATTCCAATGAGACAGGTAATTGAGAGGGACAGGCAGGACTGCAATTGTTCCACTATGTATATATTAATTACAGTTATAATAAAACACAAGCCCTAACATATTCATGTGAAAAGCATTCCCTGAGAGACATCCATGAGGTAAGAAAGTTTGAAGTAACTTCTGAAACTGCCAAAAGAAAAAAAGGAATCTCAATAAGCTCATGTTGCCTCAGCAGTACCAAGAAGAGCAGAATCACTCCTGGACTCCATATGAGCCTAGATAGTATGCCCCTGTATTTGCAAGCAGTGAATCAGTCTTGTGAGGTTTGTTTGCTCCATAGCAAGAACTGAACATAAAATCTTACGTTTCCCAGTACCTTGGCCTTGCCTTACTCCATGGAGTGCTGCCTGCCAGTATTTTCTACAAACCCCCACCTAGAGAAGGAAACCTCCCAACATATTCCACACTGGAAACTTACTGAGTCCAACTCTTCAGGCTTAATAGTGGACCAGAGCTTCTCCTAGATCCACCCTAGATCTGGTGTAAACAAACATTCAGCAACAGCTCATGCAGAGGCTCCAGAAAGAAGAGCAGATTGCAGGGAGAGCAGGGCTCTGCCTGTGATTCCCAGTGAATCACAGCTCCTGATGGCCGGCCAAGGACCATCCCCTCTCACCTCACGGATGGGTGACCCCTGCCTACCAGTGGAAAGGAGTCAGGGCTCCACCACAACTGAGCAAACTCTGGAATTTCACACTGGCAGAGATCACGACTGTGAATGTCAGGACTCTTGCCCCCGCCTAGCAGCAGACCTACATCCAAAGAGAGCCTCACTGTGCAAGTATGAAGCTGCGGCTCAGCAGCTAACTCACCCTGCTGAGAACACACAGGCTCTGTCTCACTGCCTGATCCTGCACAAACTAGGTAACGTGTTCCTGGCGTCCAATTGCAGCCTGCCTGGTGCCAAGCTCTGGGCCTGACACAACAGCATTGTGCAGCAAGGCAGAGTGGATTCCCTGGGCGTTAATCACTCCTCCCAGTCTGCCTGTCTGCATGTTCATCACACATTAACATCACCTCCACGTAAGACTGCCTATCCCATTTTGCTATTAGCTCTGGAGCATGACTGGTCCAGTGTGGGCTAATGAAAGGAAGGACCAGAATGAAGTGACGGCTATTAACTCTGTTACAATACTGTTTCAATACCTTTAGCACAGAGTGGATCAAGTCACAGCAGCCAAAAAAAGGCATTCACACACAGACCGACAATTTCTTGTACTTCTCCTCTCTTTTATGCAGCTGAAATTGTGCAGGGTAAGAAATCTCAAATAACAAACTTACCAGCATCATAAATGGTTGTCAGGCACTTGCTCAAAGCACCATCACTTAGATGGAAGCAGACCTACTAAAGATGTGGAGGCAAGGATTTTAAGCACTTAAAAGATAAGGCAGCAATGTGAAGAGACCATTTTAGGCTGATTACAAAAAGTATTAACAGCCCCAGTAAAAGGAGAGATCCGAAGGGTCTGAGGGCACCTAATCCAGGTGTATACTCAAAGTGCTGCTCAAATCATGAGATAAAAAATAGTAACGCATGGATGCCACAAATTAAGCAGCAAGGAAATGAAACTTAGCAGGTGCTATCACCACTTGTTTCCCTCTAATACATTTCAGCTTCTCTCAAGAAGCAGCACTGTTAGAACTATGGTCAGTATGACAGCTCTATAACTGAAAAACTCACATTCCACCAAAGAAACCAAAACATGCCATGTGGGCTTTCATAGGCACACTGAATTTGCACAAGAGGGACAAGTAGCTTCTTGTGCAGCAGATGTCTCAGTCTCTATAAAACTCAAAACCTGCCTGAGCAGTACACCAGGAAGGTGTTACACTTCCAGAAATGTATAAAAGCCAAGCTTGTCACAGAACAAGAGAGAGAATTAGAAAAATTAATTAATTAGAGAAATTGCATTTCACCTAGGTTTTTTCATGCCTCCTTCCTCCCGTTACAGCCTGTTCACTAAAAACACAACCCACCCCTGGAGACAGAGGTGTCTCTCAGTCCTGTTCAGTGGACCCTCCAGCTGCTGGGTCTGGTTTTGACAAGAGATCTGCTGCAGCTCTCGCTGTGCTCTAGGCTCCAGGATCTGTACCTAGCACACAGTGGGAGGAAACCAGAAGTTATGCTTGGCTTCTCACACCATTGTGTCAAGAACAGAAGCTTATTAACTACATGCTGAGGCATTTCTATCTTTTTCTTCTGTCCCTCCCATGGTCTCCAATCTGGATAGGCCTCCTTCTCTCCTCCTTATCCCACTGCATCTGCATAGCCTACACAGTCCTCATCGACACGTCTAGGGTAGGACACTGCCTGCACACCAGCAAGCCCTGACTGCTCTCACCAGCCTTCAGAGCTGTCACC